TCTCTCTCTCTCTCTCTCTCTCTCTCTCTCTCTCTCTCTCTCTCTCTGCTCCTTTCTGTCTCTGTGTGTCGTTTTTAACAAAAGTTACAACAATAACAATTATGGACAAATGTAGAAATAACCATTTTCAGTTTGGTCAAGCTACTGCAGACGGTAAAATAGGCAAATACAAAGATTGTGGTAAATAATAGCTGGATTTAATGCATCTAGAACAATGAAAGAGGATCGACAAGCATAAGCATAAACTTTAAATTGTCCAATGGCAACGATTGTGAGCGAGCGAGCGAGCGAGTGAACGGGAGAGAGTGCATTGTTCCGGATGCCGTTGCATAGCGGTATTTGCGACAGCTTGGCCAAAAGGATTGACATAAATAACTTTTTTTTCAGCTCGATAATAGATTATTATTGTTCAATGACAGTTGTATAAAATTGATTGAGGCAGCGGCTAGCAATACACCAAAAATCCACCACATTCCATCCAACAATTCCCACTGGTGCACACCAAAATCGGCATTCATTCGGAAGATATTCACAAAATACAAAGAGCGAAGGAATGTATTCCTTTTGCATTCATTTTGCAAAGAATCGAAAGGATTTGCATTTTAAACCGGTTTGTCGCAGTTTTTGATTTGCTTGCCGTCGCTCCCATTGTCGCGTCATTGCGTTATAATGAAACGCCCGGTATAGGCTTACATTTTATTTAATTTCACATAAACGAAATGTAATGTATCCAATTAAAATTCCAATGATTATTCACCCTAACCAACCGAGATGAGTGGAGTGGAGTGGAGTGGGATGGGGTAGTTGATGATGGCGGAAGTATGTGGTGTGTGATCAAGGGTATAAGTCAAAATGTCGATTGAGCTGCTAAAGTTATGCGCGTTCACACTAAATTAACAGTATGATTACGAAAATTAGCATTTTCATTGGTTCAATCATCAATATTGATCCGAATTTAATTGGACAAATATTAAGAGTAATTACGGGATTTGCATTTGATAATTTTACTGTTTATTCGCAATCACACGCTGTCGTTAGCGCTCGTTAGTATATATGAGCATGAATCTAAGCTTGTACCCGGCTCGGGGGGTTGTGCGTTTCAAAACACGTTTATCTGCATTTGCATCTGCATCATTATTTTGCTATAGCAGCATGATCATGTGAGCAAGAGAGCGGAGGAAAGAGAGAAATCGGGCAAAAGCAAGACCAAGAGCAAAGAGAATAAACTAAATGAGCTAAAACTTAAATACCGATTTTGTATGTACACATTATCGAGGCTATTTCAATATTTTATTGAATGTAAACATACTGCGCACATTCTTTGTTATTACCAAATTTATTTGCTTGCTTGCTTGCCTCGGCTTGCTGTAAAGCTCATTTAGATACTTTCTCATTTAATAACAGATTTATGACGACAATAAAGATGGAATGAACGGTTTTTAATTATTATCGTAATAAAAATTTAGAATATTACACGCGTACACCGTTTAATATATATACTCACACACACAAACACACACACACACACGAAATGAAACGTTTAATCAATTTTAAGGTGTGTTAAATTTGTTCCAGTTTTGGTGTCGGTATTGTTGCCGTCACACTGTTGCTGCTGCTACTGCTACTTCGATAAGTTTTTGTGAATGTGTGGTTTGTTGGTTGAATTACGACCAACGACATTTGAATTCAATAAGGTCTTTTACCAGATGTTTCACATCATTCCACATTGTCTCACATGCTAATCAATAACTTCAATGAATTTGATTAGAATTCATGACTTCAACCGAAATGTATATGAATACAATTTCAGTAAAGCATTGAATGTACGGATTTTTGTTTCTCATCAGTACTCTTTTCTAGAACATTTTTGGTCTCATTTCAGACATGTTCGTGGCTATTCAACGTCATTCCACTTCGTTGCGTGTTTTCTACTCAGTTTATTTCCATTAGTAAAATGATATTTGGTTGCCAAAAATTGCATTTTCCATTGACATTTCTAGTTGCAAATGGTGAGTTGTGCATTAAAATTTGTCAAGTCTAAAGTTTGTCGATTTTCGTGTGGTATATTGGGGTTAAAATAATTTCGATTCGCAGTGTTTGCAGCGGCGAATATGATTGATGATATCGATCATTTTATTGCTAAAGTTATGGCTGGAATTGAACTGACAACTGTGTACACTGTTTCTTTTGGGAAAAATTATCCGCCAATCGATCAAGATGTGACATTTTGGTGTATGGCACCGTAAGTTACAAGCATTTTTGCGGTACAGTTCTGTGTATAGCCATTTAAATAATGAATCGTGTTTTTGAACGGAAAAAAAAATTGAAAGTGGACAGGCTGACGTGAATCAAACCTATCTCAATGATCCAGATATTGCATCGAAAATAGACCTAACGAAACCAATGAGTTTTTTAATTCATGGTTGGCTGGGCGGCTTAAACGGTGGCAATATGTATTTACCGTCCGAAGGCGGATCAGGAAAGGGTATGGAAAATGCCCACCTTAAATTCAATCGGTGAAATTAATTTTCTTTGTATATATAGGCTGGGTGCGATCATCCGCAGCAAGTTGGGCTCGTTTTGCCAATTGCAATGTGTGTGCAGTAGACTGGAGCCGATTGGCTAACTATGATTATTCGGTAGCTGCGATGCGACACACGAAAATGGTAGCTGATGCCCTTGAGTATTTCGTACGATTTTTGATCGACAATGGCGTGGATATTGCAAAAGTAAAAATCGCGGGTCATAGCTTAGGGTCTCAGATTGGTAATTAATATGGGATGCTGTGAATCGAGTTAAAGATTGATGGATTTTTTTCATTCTAGCTGGATTTATCGGAGAGAAATTTAAAGGAAAAATCGACTCAATTTATGGTCTGTAACAAATTTATATTTGTTTTTAAGTTTTCGCTAGCTTTCAATTCTATTTTTCTTTTTGTTCATTTCATTAAAAAAAACTTCTGTTCTTACTTGGTGTTAGGACTAGATCCCGCTGGACCGGTTTGATTTTTCTACATTTATCGTATAATTCAACGAATTCCCGACTAGTATGATTATAAAATGTGATTATTTTCGTATAGGGTTTTACTTTTCCATTTGATTTGGGTGAATCGACGCGGCTGGACCCATCTGATGCACAGTACGTGCAGTGTGTGCACACATCTCGAGGCACTCTCGGCACAACGAAAGACTGCGGACACGCAAATTTTATCATGAATGGTGGCTACATTCAGCCGGGTTGCTTTTCGGTGCTATGCAGCCATTCGCGAGCGCACGATTTCTTCGAAGAGGCACTCGATCCAGCAAATGAATTTATTGCCGAGCAATGCAGTGGTTCATTTAAATTATTTTTTAAGCATACATTCTTGCGACAACCATGCAGCGATATTACCGACCGACTTGGGATACACAGCCAACGAATACCTGGACGATTTTTTATGAAAACAAAACCTTCTGCACCATATTCGGTTACACAAATACATGCCTAACGCTCGTACAAAACATTGTGTTTATTCTCTGGTTTCAATCATTTCAATTGTTCGCAAAGCTGGAAAATACTTGCGATTTATTAAGTTTAAGTTAATCCATTTGACATATGCCACGCAACGAATATCCGTTTTCTTTCGCTCGCTCTTTCACTTGAACTTTCAGTTCGCTTTTGAAAAGAAAATAGATAACTCCCAACAAAATAAAAGGAACAGAAAAAAATTAAAGTGTAGTGTAATTCAAGCTCTCCTTTTGATGGAATATCCTTGTTTATAGCATTTTGTGAAAGAGTATAGAAGAAATGGCGTTCCGTAGCTAGCTGCTATTTGGTTGGCTGAAAAAAAGAGAGCAAAGAATGTGTGAAATTGTAAGAGGTTCCACACATACACACGCAATCGATTTTCAATCGAAGATTTTAATGTTCTATCAAAAGAGTTTCTACAGTTTCCGACTTTCTGCACTCGATTCTTGCTCTTTACGTGTATGTGTGTTTCTCTGTGGCAATAACCCTCGCGTTTTGAATCACATTGCACATTGAATGAAGTTACTAAAAGAATGGCACAAAAGTAGAGAATGCAATGATCTTTATATAACTTATGTCATATAGAGAAAGTATTTTAAGAGAGATGTAAAGAAAGGGACAAGTTCAAGAGAAAATACGATAGCAAAAGAGTTTCAGCGAAAAAGATATTGGAAGAAAAACAAATGCAACGAACTCATGGGCTACGGGGAAAAAAGGTGGATATAAAAAACTGGTGAAAAGAGCTTCGAAAATTCTTTGGAAAATGTTCATCTGATTCTGTTAGCTGCTGCTGATGTTGCTGCGACAGCACACCATATTTGCAAAGGGACGACACGTTTTGACGAAGTCTACGGCGAACTCATGAACTATCGAAAAGTCAATACAAAATGATACGAGAGTTCGTGGCGCTGCGAGCGCTCAAATGATGTTTGCACTGAAGTGTCGTCAGCTTGCATATTTGTGTGACAGTGAAAATTTTGCTTCACTCACAAATCGTAAATCGCCGCCAAAGTAAGATTTTCTAAGTGTGTGTAATGTGTATGTGACCTATTTCGCTCGTTTACAATTGCAAAATTTCACTGAATTTACACTCGTTAGCGGGCGAATCGAAACTCGTTCTCCATTTGATTTTAGAGTGATTTGACATTTTCGGCTGTTCGATAACGGTTGCCGTAGTCGCTCCTATTTCTTACAATTTTATGCAAATGCACTTTCGAGCGAATCGATGTTGTGAATTTTATGTTTTTGGCGATGTTGTGCCGATACACAAGTCAATTCCTGCTGGATATCGGTCGTTCCCGTTTCTATATGAACCGTACGCTTGTGTTTAATCAATAAAGTGTATGAAATGTGCCTTGGTGCTGTGTTTTTCGGCACAAAATTTTGGTATTTGCTCAGTCGATGTCTTACCACGGCACCAGAAGAAATTCGATTTCACATTTCGCAATTTGCATTTGCATTGGTGGAGCGGAGCACGCACGTCCAGTAATAAATTTGATCAGTGAATTATGTCAAACAGCAATTATTATCGACCGTTTGAGAAGCCACTTCAGCATTTGGGAATTGATGATTGGCGTTCGCGCACCAATCACTTGTGCAATTTGGCATCTGTTCATCGAACCAATGCATTTGATTTGGTACAGGCAAGCCGAAGTGTGCGGGATGAAAATCAAGTGCAGGCAAATTTCAATACAACTAACAACACCATCCGTTTGGCAAATCGGTAAAGTTTCTTGCTTCTTCCTCTTCCTTTTTGCTCCTGCGGTTGCGACACATCGCACCATTTCGTATTTTATTTTATTTGGCTAAAAAAAAACTTTTCTGTCTGTTACAGAGTGCAAGAGTTGGATCGATGGTATGCAGAAATACGGTTGTGTTTTGACCGATTGTTCATGGAAATCAATTCTCTGCGTTTGGAAAAAAGTTTGACCGAAAGCGCTTTGGATGCGCTGAGTGTGCGATTATCGGTTGCCACTGAGTGTTTGTCGATGAGAGACAGTCGTACGCACGGTGAAATCACACAAGACGATGCAAATGTTGAATTAAAACGTGAACTGGCTACCGTTGAGAGTAGCATCAAAATGCTCGCTGATCAATGCCAATGCGCGTGGGAGCAACTCAATCGCTTGAATGAAGTTAAAATGAAATTAAACTTGGAACTAATGCACAAGAACGAAGCTAGAGATTGTGACAATCAACAGCGATTCACTAACGAAGTGTGCTCAAATGTTACCTTCAAGACGGACTCAATACGTAATCCAAGAAAGTGAGCAAATTTTATCCATGTACCTTGTGTTGTGTGTTTTCAATTATTTGTTCGCCAATCGTGTGTGCGCTCTTTTTTGTCTCTTCTTCTTCTTTTTTTTCTGGTGCCTTGTTTAGCTGCAGCACATACGATGGATGGCTTGAGCACTCCAAGAAAATCAAACATATTGCTGAAAACGAAATGGAGAGCTCATGTCGAATGCGAGAGTCATTGTTTGTGGCACGGGAAAAGACGAAAAATTCATTAGAAAGCCAACAAGAGCTCACGGAGCACTCGCTTCGCAAGCGAATATTCGATACACAACGTGCGCGAAATGAATTCGAATGGCAAATTATAAAGGTAAAAAAAAATTTCATGTGAAAAATACTGCAAAATCCATTTTGATAAAAGCTCATATTTGCGAGATAGCTCGTGTGCTTCGTGTTTGCAAAGTGCACTGAACCCGTTTTCATTTTTTTTCTCTTTCTCTTTGAATTTTTTCCCACATTTTTTCCCACACACACACACACACATCCATGATCCAATCTAATTCGACCAAATCGACACGATGCCCGAACAAACAGAACAAAAATGAAATGAAAATATTGTTGAATGAAATTGAACAAATTGAAAACGCACTCGAATCGAATGCAAAAGCAACAAAGTTGGCTGAAACGCGCTTAGAAAATAGATGCCAACGGCCGGGCATGGAATTATGCATGGATGGCGTGTACAGTGGGCTATGTGATGAAATTAAGCAGCTTCAATTTGCTCAACAACAACTTGATGAAAAACTTAGCATATCGAAAGCATCGTACAACCAACTCGAATCGAGTTTACAACAACTCGAGGCCGATTTAAAAAAGAAACACCACACCCTAGACACCGATATTCGGGCGCTGGATATGCGACAAAGATTGAGGAATAATTCAAGTGAAGACATCACAACGGAGAATCGTCAAATGACACTGACACAATTGCAGCAAGAAACATGAATATCGTGTCTGCCATTGATTACAGCTCTAATTAGTTGCCTCTTGTTTTTTTATTCCATTCTTCTTCATCACATCCATTTTCTGCAAGAACTCCCCAGAAGCGATAAGCAGCAGCAGAAGCAACAGAAACAGCACTACAATGCATCCAAAATTTACAGCTTTCTCTCTCTCTCTCTCTCTCTCTCACTCGTTTGCAGCACGCCACCAAAGCACAAGCTAAATACCATGCTATGGCAATTTTAGCGCGAGCTCATCGCCTCAAAAACATTTTCACAACAATTTCATCGAGGAGGAGATAAGTTAAGAGAGTTTGTTAAGTTAAGTCAGATATTTTATTAAAATAAAATGCGCACACACCATCAACAACTATTTCAGCTTTTTCATTTATTTCACGGAATAAAATCGAATTAATTTGGAAATTGGTAAAAATGGTGGTGGTGGTGGCGGTGATGCCGTCGCTGTTACTGCAGCAAATTATTTTCAATATGAGAAAACTTTGACTTTGCCCGAAAATTGAGTGAGACTTTCCATCAAAGGCATTTGGAAAACAATTACGAAGCAACTGCTCGGTTCGATGATACGGTCGCGCGGCACAAAAGAATTTCTTTGTTTTACACTCACTCGTTTTCTGGCGTTGCATTTTGTACGAATGCGATGAAACACGAAAGATACAAGTACTGCAAATGTGTAATGAAAAAAATTGTGAATGACTGAACCGAAGAGATGCTACGGCGTAGCGATTCGACTTGCCATATTTATTCATATTTGGCCATTTCTTTTCCGTGGGTTAATGCTGCACATTTTCTCTAAAAGTTTTCGTTATGGTAGCTTTTTTTCGAATTTTCTTTTCCATCTCTTGTCCGCTTCTTATAATTTTTACCGTGTTATTTGTCTGCAAAGCTTCGAGAAAGTTAAAAAATAATCCAGGGCTTTGATTTCCCCTTCACCATTTGCCCATTCACGTTTGCGTTGCAAGCACTTGAAATATATACACGTACGCATAGAATACATATGTTTATTTATAACGCACACAGAAAGACCGAGTGGGATTTTCTAGTGCGAACATAAATTATGTTCAACGAATCAATAAATAAGCCATTCATTAGGAACGATAAGATTAATTGAGGGGAGAGGAGTGGGAAATAACAACGTTTCATGATTTCCCAACAGCACAAACGCAGAATTCAGCTTTGGGAAAAAGACATGTCAACATTTTTATACAGAATCCATTCGGGCAAACAAGAACCCGAACTACTAATTGAACAATAATTACTTTGAAAACATTTTAAGAAAAATTATATTGATTATTACTGCGTTGCCATGGCTGCTATAAACGTTCATCGCATCAATGGTGAATGAAATAAAAGGTTAAGCGACTTTTCGAAAGAGATTTGTCACAAATCCACAACGAGAACAATGAAGCTTGAAAGAAGTTCTGACAAACCAATCATTTTTTTATGCACGGCCTAATGATAAATTAATGCATATCTTAAAATCTTTTCTTTTATATTTCAATTACATTTTCGAACTTTTGACTTGAATTTATATTTAAAATAAAACGAATTACATATGTAATCCAAACTTTTCCGCTCCGCAGCAATTTAGTTTACCTCCCGCTTAATGTTTAACCAAAATTTCAAAAGACCCTTTTTTCGTAGCATTTTTGACCTTAAAATATAATTATTTCGACCATTTTCCATACAAAAGTGTCAATTTCGAACAAAATTTCAAGAAATGTTGATTTCGAACCAAATTTATGGGCAAGTAGGTGTTCAGTTGTTCGAAGGCTCCCATTGTTCTTGCAAAAAAATATCAGTTGCTTTGACCAAAACCCTAAAAAATGGCTTTCTGAGTGATTTTTTATACAAAAGTCTATTTTTCGAGGAATTTTTCAAGAAATGTCGATTTCAGACCAAATTTATGGGCAAGTAGGTGTTCGGTTGTTCACAGACTCCCATTATTTTTGCAAAAAAATGGCAGTTTGCCTTGATCGGAACCCTGAAAAATGCTTTTTTCGGGTACTTCCCGTACAAATGTACCATTTTTGAGGGTTTTTCTTAGGAGAGGTACCCCAAGGTCACATCGGATATGGCTCAAAATCAATCCGAAGCTTTGTCTCGACATGCCAAAACTTTTTACTTTTACAGATCTCAATTATCTTGTCAGTTTTTTGAGATAATCGGCGAACAAAAAACTCGGACACGAACGCGAACGCGAACGACGCCATACAAACATCGCTATTTTACACATTTTTCATAGTAAACAACATGTTCTTGGAGGCAGATAGGTCTTGATCGATAGGATTTCATCCCATCTACATTGCCTAGTGTACAGATACGTGCTTTTTGAAGTTTGGCGTGAGGCTATAGTGGTCCGAAAGAGGAGATGTCATGAAATTTTGGCTAGTAAAACCAATACTTTACCTAACAAACAAAGTTTGCGGAAAAGTAAAAAAAGTCCCCGCTATCGGGAATAGCGCTAAAGCGTCCGATATTGGGAATTCATTTTGAAGAATAAAACTACAATGGTCAAAAACCTTAACATAAGTTTCGTTATTGGAAGGGTTTCATTGTATGTTTATTTTTAATCAACCGTTTTTTCTCTATTCAATCCTTTTAAAAATCTTCTCAAAACCATTTTTTTCTACCAATTTTCAGCGCTGAACAATTCGAAGAAGAAAAAAAATGTCAGTTTAATATGGTTGCAACTTTGAAGCAACAAACGATTGCTATGTTCCCTCTTTTGATTGTTTGCATTCATATTCATAAGAAGCGACACTGAACAACTGACATCATCCCGAAACTATTGTATCTGTGACTTTTTCAAGAAGCAACAAAAAAAAAACCGAACAATTTATCGATGGTGAAGAGCTGAGCGAGTGCCAGAGCGAGCGTGAACGTTGGAAAAAAAATCTTAACAGCGGCAAGATCGTCGTATGGCAAGCATTCAAGCATTCGCACACTGGATTGTATATTCACTGCATTGTAGTCATCTGTGCACAGTGAACACATTGAGCTTCCGCTCCATGAACGATGAAACGTATGAAAAACACATATGTCGACCTTTTAACAACAATATCAGACTGTACACAATGTGAACGTATCTCGATTATAGCAAAGGTCCAGCATCCCCATGCTACATAATGCTGACAATTTCGACGCTATTTTTTTGTGTGTGCCACTCTTCTCGCTCACTTGCTCAATGGGCACATTTTATCGGACGATGCACAGCAATAGAAGCCAACTAAATGACTTTCGCTAGTTCAAATGCAAGTGGTCGCACAGTTGTTGCATTTGTGTGGATTCATCGTGTTTACACTATGTGATTAAGGAAATGCATTTCACTTGGGCGTTTTCTCTCTTTCTCAAATTGTTCGACGAAAGTTTGTATTATTGTAATTTCACAAACAACATTTTCTTTGACATTGACAGAGAGAGAGAGAGAGAGAGAGAGAGAGAGAGAGAGAGAGAGAGAG